TCATTGCAGCCTGGCTGTCGGATAAGATTGTTATTCTTCTCCTAGGCCCACCCTCCTCCAGAATGTGAGATACACAAGCCAGAATCGCAAAGATTTCCGCCTGGAAAATGGTGGTGTACTCACCGAGAGGCAGAGATAGCCTAGTTCTAGGTCCAGAGACCCCAGCACCTGAGCCCTCTTCGGTGACCGAGCCGTCCGTGTACCAGACCTGCCCGCTCACTTCGGAGAGTCCTCGGCTACCGGCGTCCCACTCCTCCCTCGTTGGGTACTCCACAATGAACTTGCGGTTGAAGCGATATTTAGGGGTAATACGATCACCCCTGCTTAGAAGGACGGGGTCCTCCCTATCTAATTCGACTAATATGGCAGTATGCCCCTTGACCGGATTCAAGAAAGCCCAGCTGCCCTGACTCCACAGTCGATGAGCGACTACTCTCGCTTCACCGCGGATCACCAGATCCAACGGTGGGAGATCCAACAGAGCTTCCATTGCACTCAATGGCGTTGTTCGCACTGCGCTTGTAATGCTAATACAGGCCAAACGCTGAATTTTATTGAGTTTGGCCTTAGTTGACTCAGTTCTAATGCAAGGCCACCAGACCAGGGAGCCGTACAAGAGAGATGGACGTACTATCGTCGTGTAGAGCCAGTATACCACTTTGGGTTTAAGCCCCCACCTTACACCGACAACACGTCTACAAGCCCACATCGAATTGCGAGCCTTGCTAACCTTGTGTTCCACATGCTCTCTCCAGTTCAGTTTGGAGTCCAGGATAATTCCCAGATATTTCACTGACTGGGACAAAACTAATCTAGTCCCAAAGAAGGTAGGCATGACCAGTCCGTCAAGCCTTCTTCTCCTAGTGAATAGGATCAGCTCGGTCTTTTCAGCATTAACAGAAAGATCGACTTCCCTACACCACGATTCCACGGAGCGCAGAGCGCCCTGCATAATTTCCGAGACTGTTCTACAGAAACGCCCCCTAACCACTATGCTTACGTCATCAGCATAGGCTTGCACGTAGACACCCATACTGTTGAGCCTAACGAGCAGTTCGTTCACCACGATACACCACAGTAGGGGTGACAGAACTCCACCCTGAGGGCAGCCTCTAGCTACGTTCACGCTGCAGCTTACGTTATTCAGCATAGCTGTTGTTACCCGACCCTCCAGAGTAGAGAGGACCCAATCTATTAGGATTGATCCAACCCCGTGTCTAACCAAGGCCTGTCTGATAGAGTCGGTTGTGGTGCAATTAAATGCACCTTCAATATCTAAGAAGGCCACGAGTGCCACTTCTCGCTGATCTAGAGTCTTCTCCAGCCTCCCAACCAGATTGTGTAAGGCCAGATCAGTCGATTTTCCAGCTTGGTATGCAAACTGATTTGCATGAATGACACACCTTTCCAGTGGGCCATCCCTTAGGTATCTATCAACTATCCTTTCCAGGGTCTTAAGCACAAAAGATGAAAGAGTAATCGGTCGAAAATCCTTCGGGCCAGTATATCTATCTCTGCCCGGTTTAGGAATGAATACCACTTTAGCCTGCCGCCAACTTCTAGGTGTGAAGCCCGTGGCCACACATGCTCGAAACACATTCAACAGGTAAGGAACAACCGAAATCCGTCCCTGCTGTAACATGGCCGGAAATACGCCGTCCAGACCTGGACTTTTGTATGGGGCAAACGAATCTACTGCCCATACCGTCCTTTCGAAGGTGACAATCTCCCTTGCCGTGCGCCAGTCCTCCCTTGAGGGCCTGCGCAACTGCATGCACTCTGTGATTGATCGCGCTACTGTGGAACCGGGAAAGTGCGTATCCATCAGAAGCCTCAGAGTATCTTCCTCGGAAGTAGTGTTCCCTCCCGAGGGATCATGCAGAGATCCCAATCTTGCTTTAGTGTCTTTGCATAGGACTCTGTGTATTCTTGCAGTAGCAGGAATGTCATTTATGGACTGACAGAAGTGCCTCCAGGATTCTCTGGAGGCCCTTCTAATCTCCTTTTTGTACTCCTGCAATGCCTTTTTGTATTCTTCCCATAGAGGAGAACCTCTCCTGTGCTTAACTCTGCTAAGAAGTTTGTGCACCGCTCGTTTTCTATCCTCTAAATCTTTGGTCCAGAAGGTTGCCTTGCCCTTACCTTGTACTTTGCGTAACGGGCAGTTTTCCTCATATGCGGCCGTCAAGTCCCTGCTCAGAGACTCGACAGCTGCTTCTATGTCAGAGCCCCTGCCAAGCCTGTATGGGACCGCTCCAAGCTTACTGTCAATGTCTGCCCTAAAGGACCCCCATCTAGTATGCCTGGGATTCCGAGCATATTTATCCGGAATCTCTCCATCAGTCTTGAACAGTATATACCTGTGATCCGATAGAGAGGGTGTTAGAGACACTTTCCAGTCCCTGATGTCCTGAGCTAAGTTAAGCGTGCTCAGTGTTACGTCGATAACCTCTTCTCTTACACTATTGCTGAAAGTGGGCATGTTACCGACATTCAGAACCTCAAGGTTCGATGCCCCAAGAAACTCCATCAGGTCTTCGCCTCGTCTGTTGGTGTTCGAGCTGCCCCACGCAACGTGATGGGCATTACTGTCGCATCCAATCACAAGGTCGAGTCCAGAATCCCTACAGAATGCGACAAGGTCCCCCATTTCCTTAGACGGAGGAGGGTCTCTTGAATCGTAAGGAAGGTAAGCCGAACAGACAACCAAGTCCCTGTCACTGCCTTCCTTCTTATATCTAATTCTGACTGCAACTAAGTCTCTAAATGTAAATTCTTTAAGTTGCCATGAGTTGACGGAAGTCATTACGCAAGCTCTGGGCTTAGTGTCCGGAGTATCGCTAAAAAGCGTATAGCCCGGTATACTAAGCCCGTTTACTGAACCGTTTCTCAGCCAGGGTTCCTGGATGAGAGCCACGTCATGTCGGCCTCGAGTGATCTCCTGAGTAAGGGCCCTCGAAGCCGCTATGCAGTGTTGTAAGTTAATTTGGATGAAATTAAAACTTACCATGGATGTTGAGAGGCCCTTCCTACACCTTCTCGAATGACGGTATGTAACCCCTATTCGGGCGTACCGCCGTCGCGGCCGCAGTCATCGCTGCCACAGCCGCCTTCATCTCCGCTTCCACGGAGGAGTTCTCGGACTCGGTTCAGGATTCCATCCTCGTCCGAGTCGCTATCGTTTTCCTCTGGGACCAGATCCATCGCAGGGTCCGCCACGATGTTTTCTGCGGATATCCCGCTTGGACCCGCCGCCTCCACGTCCGTAGCCTCCGGTGGCTCCAGCGAGAGCTGACCCGGCCGACCCATCCCCTGTGAAGGAGCCTGGTCTACCGCCACAGCTCCCGTCGGTCTGGGCTGGTCCGACTCCTGGTTTGGAGCCAGGCCAGTTCCAGCAGGTGTCGCTCCACTGCTCTTCTTCTTGCTCAGGAGTGTAAACACCCCCGAACTTCCACCGCAACACAGCCTGTTGCCGTTACCTACAATGACCTTCCAGCTTATGGAATCAACTGAGAGGACAAGTCGGACACCTATCGGCTCTTCCTTCCTCTCAAGTATCCTCCACGCGCTGGGAAAAGTCCCAGGATTGTGTCTCCTGAGTCTCCTCGTGATGACCCCGTTGTCCAGGTTGGGACCCGGAAACCAGGCCATCACGCGGTGGTATATGGGAAGGTCTCCAAAGCTCATCGTAATGAGCCTTGCGCCTTCCCACGGCCGCAGATCCCCCACGTGGGCCTCCAACCATGCCCTAGAGGATTCGTCCTCGCAGACAAAGATGGCTGCCCCTCGAGAGAGGTAGCAGTCAATGTACCTGGGAAGGGTCACCTCATCTGGGATCCCATCTATCAGCACACTGACCGCCTCCTGGACCTGCTGCACCTGTACATTAGTAAGTTGAGTCCCAGGATAACCGTCGGACACGACGGCCACCCTGAGACCCGCTTGGGACGCTCGCGCATAACTAATTTGCGCATGCGTCGCAGTGCGAGGCTTCTTCCGCGAGGATGCGCCCTCCGGTGTCCCACCGGCAGACCTCTGCCGCTTCCCGTCACCGGGCCGCTTTAGGGTCTCCGCTGACACACCGGATTGCGCACCGTCTAGCCCAGATGGCGGTTGGGTCCGTCCAGCCGGGGTCCCAGAAGTGGTGCCCCGACCTTCCGAGCCCTCCGTCATCTGCGCCTCTCTCCGCTTCCGAGCCCTTTTCCTTTCGGAACCTGGCCGAGACTTTTTCTTAATCTTTAGAGAGCCCACCCTTTCCGCTAGCTCTCTCGCTAAGCTTCTGACAGATTCCTCTGTCAGAGTACGATCAGGGTCCCCTGGTGAGGGGTCGCCTGGATGTTCGGGGTCCCCTGTAGGGGGGGCCTCGGGTTTTTTATTATTTTTTCCATCGTTTGGTTCCATAATGTTCCCACGAGTATAGGGGAAGTGGTGATCGACGTCCGCGGTGCCCCTACACGGACGCAAGGCTGGATACTCTGGGAGGTCGCCCGGTGTCCCAGAGGCTCCGTTTAAGACGGTGCATCCCCACCGCCACGCACCCCTCGGCACGGAATCGCTTAACACCTTGGGTTGGGTAACGTACCATTGCCCATGATGACCGTTGAGCTGCAGGCGTCCCAGATATACATCCGAGACACCTGTGGCTCAACGAATCATTCGATTGGCCGGGCTACCGGCTTTCCGGCGGGTCTCCTCAAAAACTAATCGAGGCGGTCCACCGCAAGACCGGCACCCCGTTGCCCCCCCTACACGGTCGCACACGGTTCAGCGCCCAAGGCCGCCCCGCAGAACGAACTCGAGGACGTACGGGTTGGATTTTGTAGGGGCATTAAATGATAGTAAAGAACGCTTTATTTAAAAAATAGTTCGAAATAATACATTCGCCGTTGCAGGATATACACACCAGAGTGGGTGCCAAGGATGGCTGTGCTACTCTATGAAGATTTCGTAATAATTGCAGCGATATCCAGCTTGGTTGCGTTCGACCTGCTAGTCAGAACGTTTTTGGTCCTAGCAGAAGCACAGTTGAAAATGATAAATCAGGAGTTTTCAATGATCTATTATCATCATCACTATTTGAATCATCGACTGTTACAGAATAGGATCAGAAAATGTGTAAACCATCATTGCTTTTTGGTTGAGTGAGTTTAAGTTCAAAAATCTTTATAGGTACATACCACAGGGTGTAAACGTTATGATAGTCATTATTTAAATGGGTGATAGAGGTGGTTAAAAGAAACAAAAAATTTCATAACATAGGGGTCAAAACGGCATTTTTTTAAAGAAAAGCGACTTTAAAGTGAAATAAAATCTGACAACGCCGCAATGCCAGTCACAAATTACGACGGAACGCAGTGTAAATAAAGATGGAGTTTGTCATTTTTGGCTCTTAGGTATTATTCCATTATTTGATAATTTACTCGTAAAATGCAAACAATTAAAAAAACGGACTTGCCACTAAATGTCTCAGCGCTTCACCTGGTGTGTGAAAGTTTATTGAACGTATTGAAAAAATCCACTTATAAATAGGGAACACAATTTTGATACATACATTGTTTTTCTTTTTAAAACCCACAATGCACTTTTTTGTATTTAAATAAGGTGTTCAAAATGTCGTCGTCTACTTTCCACACAAGCTTCATTACGACGAACCCAGTTTCTTCTTACTCTAGGTCCTCAAAGTTGTCCATTTATTATTTCAGCCGCATTAAATTTTTTTTTCCCGAAGTTGTGATTCAGTTGTTATTGGACCAGCCCCATAAACCATCCCTTTAAGTTCTCCCCAATACAAGAAATCCATCGGATTGAGGTCAGGAGATCTTGCTGGCCATTTTCAAGGATCAGGAGCACTTCGACCGAACCAGCGATTTGGATAATGTTCATTTAAATACTGAATGACGCCTCTGAAAAAGTGCGGTGGTGCCGCGTCAGGAAGAAACCACAAATTCTGTCTCCGTTGTAATGGCGTGTTGTCTAAGGTCTGTTCCAAAAGTTGTGGTCGGTTATTGGCTAGAAAGCTAAGGTATCATTCTCCTGACAACTTTGGGGGTAACTCGATAGGGTCAATTACCTGATCCTCAAGAATATCCGCCTAAATATTTATTTTAAAATGTTGTTGGAAATGACCTTCACGAATGGTATGAGAATTTTCTTGGGTTCACGTGTGAGTATTATGGAAATTAATATCCCGTCTCGCCTAAAAGTACATTCGTCCGTCGCTAGAATGTTTTTAAAAAAATCCGGATTTTCAATGTTTTTGTGCAAAAACCACTGGCAGAATGTTAGTCTGCGAAGATAGTCTTCTGGTAACAAGGCCTGCACTCGTTGTACATGGTAGGGATAAAGCAAATTTTCCCAAAGGATTCTATGGACTATGGTATGCGATAGTCCTACGCGTCGGCCTAGTTCCCGAGTGCTGATATCTGCATTGATTTCCAAGATATTTAAAATTTGTTCCTCCTGCTCTACAGTAACCTGTTTTTCACGAGTGCGAATGTTAGTGGGCTGCACACTTCCTGTATCTCGAAGTCTTTGGTACACTTGCACAAATGTCCTTCTGTCTGGGTGTACCCGTTGGCGAAATGTGTCGCGATAAATTTGAGCTGCAAGATTTGAATTCTGAAGGGCTTCACCGTAAACTAACAACGTGTCGGCGAACTCTTGATTTGAGAATATTGTAAATAAACACGACGACGATAACTAACCACTGTTGCCGTTTGCGATCGATTGCTGGTTCGATAAGAGTGATGAAAGACCGACGCGCTGTTGTCAAGTGTGTTTTAAATATTTAATTCAATGAAATTTACTTACTTACTGACTACAAATTTTGGAATAACTTAATGCCATTTATTTGTGCATTACCCAATTTGAAAACGTTTTAGATTATATTATAAAAATTAGTAAGATTGTGGTGATTGTGGTCGATATAACGCACTTAAAGTTGTAAACTATAAAGACATTTAGACAAAAATCTATTGACTTTTGGATCATGGGTCATATGAACTTTTTGACTTGTTTTGACCACACCCATTACGCATTTCAATAACGTTTACACACTGTATATTAGACAATTCGTGACGCAGATTTCGCGAAATACTCTGGCCCTAGCCAAAATTATATGAACTCGAGGAATTTTGTTATGCTTAACACTAGTAAATGAAACGATAATAACTAAAAATATCTGTGCTACAGAGTTGTCAGAAACTGTTTTCTTCACAAAAACTAAGAGATAACATTTTAACACAGGTAAGGAGAAACAAAACGTTGACATTGTTCCCACAGCATGGTTTAGATATAGTCACTATGTTGCCAAAAAAAAACAAAGGTGACGAAATTATTTATTCTGGATGCAACACTTTTAATGTCACTGAGTATACATTTTCGTAGTCTTTTTTCTAACATCTTTCATGAACTAATGGCAGCATTGCCTGTGAAGTGGAGAGTCAGCCTACTTGACGCTATTTTTTTTTATTTTAGCTTTATGAACCGTTTCAGCGACATATTCTCTTCAGCTCTCCTCCTTTTTGCTGGAAACATTACCCTATCTATGTGTTTATGCATGTATGCCATGACACAGGAGTAAGTATAGCCATTGATTAACGAATTATCACTAGTAGCATAGCTCAAACTGTGTACTTATTGAAATAAAAACCACCGACGATATACAGGGTGCCCCAATTTTGACCTATATATCAAAGGTATGATTTTTTAAATGGAATGCCTCAAATTTTATTGCATATTTGGATAAACCAATTCAAACGAAGAAGATTGATATAACATACTATGGGGTTTTGGTAATTAGCTACTTAGATGTAAGGTGTTTTGTCCAGAAAAACCGTCCACTTCGGCAACCCCTCAATCCGCCATTTTGAAATTTGGAGTGCTGAATTTTGTATAAAAAAAAACTTACACACCTCAGCTTTTATCTTATTTGTTACTTTTTCGAATTTTCATTTTTGCTCGTACAGGGTGGTCAAAACTGCGAATTGTACTTTTTCTCAAAAATTCCAAATGCATCACCCTGTATATTTATGCAAGTTTGGATTCAATTTGATATAAGCTTTTTTAAAATCACTAGATTTTGAGTTATTAAGCTTTTAATAGAACAACACACCAAAGTTAAGGGGGAAAATCACATGATCCATGGAAACAAAAGACAAACAGAGGGATAGTTCCATATTGCCACTAAGAGTACAGATTTGACGTAAAAACTAATAATAATCAGAACAGTATCAATCAGTTTCAAGCGTAATAGAGAAAAACAACCATAACAACGTAAACAAACAACTTTCACTACTCAAGACCTAATCTACAAAAACTGCTCGAGAATATCTCCCCCATGTTGAATACGCAGCCGTAGTCTTTGGATAAATGACCGTTGCACATCCCTCAGCATGTGCTCCCTTATGTTCAGAAAATCATCCTTAATCCTTTCCTTCATATTTTCCGGGGTAGATGGTGGATATCTATAAACCTCTTGCTTAACGTAGTCCCACAGAAAGAAGTACATCGGTGTCATATCTGGTGATCTAGGAGGACAAGATATACGCCCATCACGACCGATCCAACGATTGTTGCTCCAGGTCTCTAAATAGTTACGCATACGATTATGATAATGCGCAAGTGCATGTTGGAAGTACATATGCATCCGAGTATGCAGGTTGACATCCTCCAAAAGCAAAGACAAATGCTCGATCAACAAATTCAAGAATTCTGTACCTGTTAATCTGTTGTCGAAAAAGAAAGGCCAGATAACTTTTCTGCCAATAACTCCTCCCCAAACGTTCAAGCTCCATTTATTTTGGAAATCTATTTGCTGTTAAAAGTTGCCTCATGGCTAAAAAGAACCTTATCCAGGAAAGTAGAGTCTTCACTCACTTTATTTAGCATTATTCTACTAAACTCCATTCGAGCTGCGAAATCCTGAGGACGAAGGCCTTGATGCAAGCAGAGGCGAACTCGTCAAATATAGCTAGAGACTTGGAAATGTTGCCGTCTGCGTAGAAAATTAAGTGAGAACGCATTCGGAGAAAAAGAGATACATGATGCGCTGTGTCTCGTCGCCTCGTTGGTACACTCCGTGCAACAAGTTTGCAGAATGTGATCTTAACACTCGCCGGCGCCGCCACGTGTATCGCTGTCAATATACCGGGCATCTCAATATTTTAGCCGGTGTGTATGGCTTGCTGTACACGCTGCTAATATTTCTTATGGATAATTGTTTCTAATGGCCTAGAAGCAACAAAGTTTGGTACCAGTTTTGGCCTATAATTGAAAATGGTGCCATAAAAACTAACATGTTTTTCTTAAGTGTTTTCAGGATAAAACGTAAGTATTAGTATCTGAAACTGTTCGTGATTCGAATTACTTTGTTAAAAAATAAAACTTAACTACACAAAAAACTTGAGATAATTCAATTTTTTACGTACCACAAAAAACGAGATTACAATTGGCGTTCAAGAGGTTCATCTTCTGTCTCGGAACTGCTATTTTCCAGAGAATCCACGCTGTCATTGTCAGTATCTTCTTGCAAATTTATTATAACTTCATCGACAATTAAATCTAGAGCTGGTTCCTTTTCCATGAAATAATGCTCGAAAGAAATAGCATGTTCACAATATTTTTTCCATTCTTCTTGGGTAAATTTGGAGAAAAATTCTTCACAATATTTCCACATTTTTATCTGCCACATATCGTTTTAGAGCAGCCCACACTAATTCAATCGGATTTAAGTCCGGATGGTAGGGTGGTAGTCTTAAGACAGAGTGACCTGCATCATTCATGATCTGATCTATCTCATAGGTTTTACAACTAGGTTTGTGCATGTTTATTATGCCATATAATTCTGCTTTTATCATGTCTTCCGAAAATGGAATGTTCCGCTGTCTCAGCCACTCCTTCATTTCATCTTTTCTACACCCCGTTGTGGGACATTTTTGTAGTTGGACATTGTGATACGGTGCATTGTCTATAATCAATACACTACGGGCTGGTATGTTAGGAATAAGTTTTTCCTGAATCCACTTTTTATAATTACTATAGTTCATTTCGCTATGATAATCTCCGGACTTAGTACCAGATTTGAATTGTAAACATGCGTTGTTTATGAAACCCATTTCGCCGCCTGCATGAACAATAATTAGCCTCGGCCCTTTGGACACTGGCTTGTGGAAACCCTCGATGGTATTGTCTCCCCAGTTTTTGGCATGGGTATGAGAGGAATGAATATAAGTCTCATCCATGTAAATTATGGGCCGATTTTCTTCCCTATAATGTTTAATATTCCTGAGAAAACTTCTCCGAAGCGCTTGTATATACGGTTTTTTCCATTAGGATTTTCCTGTTATTCTTCGTTTTCCTCCATCGAAATCCCATATCCCTCATCACTTTTCTCAAAGTTTCATGTGACCCTGTATAAATATTGTTTTCTCTAAGTTTGTGTGTTATGTGTCGCAAGGTAGGGACTCGTTTTTCGATGACATAAAAATTGATTATTATACGGCGAAGTAGACTTCTGTCAAGATCATCCAAGTTTGATTTTGGGGCACATTTCATTCGTTTGTTGTTAGGCGTCGAAAATGACGTAGCACCACCTTCTTCCACATTTTTCATTTTACGAGAGATCCGTTTTATAGTGCTTAAGCTTACTCCCGTAGCTAGGGCAGCGCGCTCCTGTACTTTTTTTAAATCCTTAATAGGCTGATTTTGTATCGCTTCTCGCTGCATAAAAAAGATTACATTCGCTATAACCTCCCTCGTTTGTCCAGACAAAACTTTGCCTTTTAATCTTGATTGAAAATCCATGTTAATTATTTAAACACTCAAATCAGTAACAACTTCCTTCCAGTACAGGAAAAAGAAACTCAACAGAATAGTTTTTGTCGCAGACTGTACAACACCTTGCCTCCAGTTGTCACGAAATACTAATGATGAAATTTTGGTGCTGTCTAGTGCGCATCGGAGGTGGAGCGTAATATCGGGAAGACCAAGTCTCTAGCTATATTTGACGGGTACAGAAGTTCTGCATAGATCAGTTTCTGCTCCAATTTGCCATGCACTTGAATGGGGATTTTCCTGCTACTTTAATTGAACCTCCGATTTGCCTCATTGGTGACGCATGGATTATTTACATATACTTTGTTTTCCAACATTGCTTGTTGGCCAGGGGGCAGATATGGTTGGCGTGAAAAATAAAATGGCTACCGCGGTCCAACCAGTACCATATCACCGCACACACTGGAACTGATGATAGTCTTTCTCTAATCCCAATTTAGTTACCCATGTAGATCTTCTGTTGGTTCAGAAGGTATCTTAGAAAAATAAGGGATGTGCTTTAAACGTAAATTTGACCTTAAAATACCCATTATCATAAAGCCATATAGGGCACCGTCTTCGCGCCACTGGGGTTACTACCCGCAGATTTTTAATTTTACTTACCGGTGAAAAGATAAGTCCTCTGCTTCAGACTATTGATTGTATGCCTTGTAAACACATCAATTGCGCACCATGCAGGGGCGTAGCTACCGCCGTATCTGCCGTATCAATTATACGGGGCCCCCGGGCCACGGGGGCCCCCAAAGTGTGTAAGGAAAAAGAAATAAAAACTTCCTAATTTATTTTATTTTACAAATGACAAAATTCTATAAAGCAATTACTTTTTATACCGCCTTAAGCGTGCGTTCAAAAGTTGGCAACACTGTACATCGTTATGGCGGGCTGTGGGACTTCCCCGTTTTACTTACTTCATCTGCAACTCAGCGGGGAATCCCTCAATAATAAAATCGATATCGCGAACGTGTACGTACATACTCTATATTGGATGTTAAACCACGGAGTGCAGTGCAGTGTTTATTTACGCGTTTTATGTAATTGTGCATTACATTGTAATTCAGTACAAACAATATTGTTCTGGTGGTTTAACAATATTAGTAGCGATTTGTAAAAGAAATGAGTGAAAGGAAAAGAGATTATCCCAGCGGTGCTGAGAAAAGAAAAAGTAAACGGAAAAGGGAAGAGGTTATAAAAAAAGTGCCCAAAATTTCTTCATTTTTTCATAGACAAGATACTGTGAGTGATTTAGATTGGAAAGGTAAGTACTACCCAACCCATTTATTCGGGGTCCGTAGTGATAAACAAGGAAATCTTTTAATTTCGGCCTGTCAATCTGTCCGTCACAAAAAGTGGTCTCCCCCCCTTCGATTTTCACAACTACTGGTCCAAAAATCTAAAAAAGATATTGGAGACTCCTTACTAATTAAACTTTTACATGAAATTGGTTTGGCAAAAATCTTAAAACGGATAAGGTTTAAAAATAAATGACAATTTGTAAAATTACTTCTTCGAAAAACCGAAGTACTTACTAATTTACACAAGTACTATTTTACACGACGCTAATGTGGATCTGCGTGGTTAGATACGCGTGGTTGGTTTATTATTTACCTGTAGCGAAGGGTGAATTTTGTTTTTAGGGTTCCGTGCCTCGAAACAAAAAAAAACCAAAACTCTAACTTATCTATAAGATCAATTTGTTTTGTTGTTTGTCTATCAGTCTGTATCGTATCGTAAATTGCGTGTTGAGAACTTCAGA